GAGGATGTTGACACATTGTGAAATATGTAACCAATGTCACCAAACAATAGGCATGCTGTTGTCAGGTGCCATCGAGTCGGTTCCAACTCATAGCAACACTCTGTACAACAGAACAAAACACTGCCCCGTCCTGCACCATCCTCACAGTCGTTGTTATGCTTGAGCCCCTTGTTGCAGCCACTGTGTCAATCCATCTCATTAAGGGTCTTCCTCTTTTTTGCTGTCCCTCTACTTTACCAAGCATGATGTCCTTCTCCAGGGAATGATCCCTCCTGACAACACATCCAAAGCATGTGAGACATAGTGTCGCCATCCTTGCTTCTAAGGAAAATTCTGGTTGTAGTTCTTCTAAGACAGATTTGTTTGTTCTTTTGGCAGTCCATGGTATATTCAATATTCTTCTCCAGCACCGCAATTCGAAGGTGTCGATTCTTCTTCCGTCTTCTTTATTCATCATCCAGGTTTCACATATAGAGGAGGTGATTGAAAACACCATGGCTTGGGTCAGGCGCACCTTAGTCTTTAAGGTGACATCTTTGCTTTTCAACACTTTAAAGAGGTCTTTTGCAGCAGATTTGACCAATGCAATGTGTCTTTTGATTTCTTTACTGCTGCTTCCATTGGTGTTGATTGTAGATCCAAGAAAAATGAAATCCTTGACAACTTCAGTCTTTTCCATGATGCTGCTTATTGGTCCAGTTGTGAAGATTTTTGTTTTCGTTATGTTGAGGTGTAATCCATACTGAAGGCCGTGGTCTTTGATCTCCATCTGTAAGTACTTCAAGTCCTCCTCACTTTCAGCAAGCAAGGTTGTGTCACCTGCATATTGCAAGTTTTCAATGAGTCTTCCTCCAATCCTGATGCCCCGTTTTTCTTCATACAGTCCAGCTACTCTGATTATTTGCTCAGCATACAGATTGAATAGGTATGACGAAAGGATACAACCCTGATGCACACCTTTCCTGACTATAAACCATGTAGTATCCCCTTGTTCTGTTCCAACAACTGCCTCTTGATCTATGTACAGGTTCCTTATGAGCATAATTAAGTGTTCTGGAATCCCCATTCTTTGCAATGTTATCCATAATTTGTTATGATCCACAAAGTTGAATGCCTTTGCATTGTCAATAAAACACAGGTAGACATCTTTCTGGTATTCTCTGCCTTCAGCCAGGATCCTTCTGACATCAACAATGATATCCCTGGTTCCGCCTCATCTTCTGAGTCCAGCTTGAATTTCTGGCAGTTCCTTGTTGATATACTGCTGTAGTCGCTTTTGAATGATCTTCGGCAAACTTTTACTTGTCTGTGATATTAATGATATTGTTCGATAATTTCCGCATTCAGTGGAATCACCTTTCTTGGGAATAGGCATAAATATAGATTTCTTCCAGTTGGTTGGCCAGGTAGCTGTGTTCCAAATTTCTTGGCATAGATGAGTGAGTACTTCCAGCGCTGCATCCATTTGTTGAAACATCTCATTTGGTATTCCATCAATTCCCGGAGCCTTGTTTTTCACCAATGCCTTCGGTGAAGCTTGGACTTCTTCCTTTAGTACCATTGGTTCCTACTCGTATGGTGCCTCCTGAGATGGTTGAACATCGACCAATTCTTTTTGGTATAGTGACTCTGTGTATTCCTTCCATCTTCTTTTGATGCTTCCTGAGTCATTTAATATTTTCCCCATAGAATCCTTCAATAGGCATAGAAATTGTTAAATGGGAAAACTAATTTGCTCTGTAAACTTTCACCAAAGAAACAATAAAATATTATTTAAAAAAAAAATTACCCATGCACCCTTCTAATAAAACTACGGGAGGAAGTTCTCCGTTAAAATAAGGAAGTGAGAAAGAAGTAGATACAGGAGTGACGCAAAAGGAACCCTCAGAACAACGGTGAAAGGTGGTCCCAGAGAGGCTGCTGTGTATTAGTTATACAGAGCAACCAATTCAGATTGGAGCAGGCCAGAAGGGTCTTAGAGATGTCAAGAAGATGAAATTGTTAGAATATCTGAAGAGGAGTTTTACACAACTGGGGTAAAAATTTGTGACTGAGTTAGAATTAAAAACCAGCTGCTGTAGAGTCAATTCCGACTCCTGGCGACCTCATGTGTGTGTCAGAGTAGAACTGTGCTCCATAGGGGTTGCGATGGCTGACTTTCTGGAAGTACATCATCAGGCTTTTCTTCTGAGTCACTTCTGGATGGACTTCCAACAAGCACCCTTTCAGTTAGCAGCTGAGAGTGCTAACTATTTGCACCACCCAGGGAGTCCAAATTAGAATTACGGACCTAGAAATCTAAGCAAATGAAAAACGAGACAGTTGCTAATTTTGGAGAAGACAAAGTTAGGCAAGAAAGAAAAAGTGATCATAGTATAGGAAATGGCTCAATTGTGATCAGCATTTACGCAACAGAAATTCCAAGGAACTTCCAAATTCTTTCCTTTTATAGAATTCTTTATTATATATAGGTTCTCTAGGTGTGTTATATAGAGATTTCCATAGAAGGGATTTACCATAACAGTATCTAAAGTTGCCAGGACATTTATTCTAACATGATTTGATCGAGGATATCCGACAAGGTGGAAAGTAAGAAATCTCAGCTTACATACTTCTGAGCTGCGTGAGACGGACTTTACAAAGTATGAGGATTGCAAATCACCACATGGACAGTGCCTGGCACATAGTAGGCCCTTATAAATGACCACTCTTATAAGCCATCTTAATGGAAGAATGCTGAATAGGGATATTACAAAACTACAAGGAATGCCACTTTGACCCTAACTTGAGTTGCAAGTCAAGGGACATTAGAAGTCTGACACTATTATAAAAACCAAGGCATCCCAGTCTAGGTGTCTTAGTTACCCAAAGCTGTTGTAAGAGAAACACCACAAGTGAGTGGCTTTAAAGAACAGAAATTTATTTTCTCACAGTTCTGGGGGCTAAAAGACTAAATCAGGGTCTTAGTCATGTAGATTCTTTCTGTGGGCCTCTCTTCTAGTTTCTGGCGTCTGCCGGCGATCCTTGGCGTTCCTTTGCTTGTAGAGGGGCCCTCCCACGGCATCTGTCTTTCCCTTGTGTGTATGTCTGTGTCTATTCTGCTCTTTTTATAACTCAGAAGTGATTAGATTTAGGACCCATTCTATTCTGGTATGACCCACTAACGTAACAGAAGAAAAACTCTACTTCCAAACAGGATCACATCCACAGGTACTGGGGCCAGGACTTCAATACATATTTTTAAGGAACAGAATTCAATCCATAACATTAGGCAAATATGATATGGAACTGACAACGTTGTATACTGACAAAATTAAGGCTAAAATGTTCTGAGGAAGAGAAGATGATCGAGGGTATACAGTACATAGAGGGAATCAACTCTCAGAGGGGCCAAGCTCCCCTTTAGGGCGGTGGCTTAAAGATCTAGACATTTTCTCTTGGGAATCCCAGTTCTGCTTGACACCACGGGAAGGTTGGGACTCTAAGACAGAACTCTGGTTTCTCCCTTAAACATAAAAATAAGAAAATAACAATTTGTAGCTGCAGGAGTTCCTTGGTACCATCAATCACAGGGGTTGGTCAGATATTAATGGTTAGAAAATTAAAGATAAAATAAATTCTTGATAATAATTAACACGCATCAAGCACTTAAGATTTGTCGGTCACTGTTTCAAGCCATTTTACATGAATTATCCTATTTAAACTCCATCACAACTCTAGGTCCTTTTATCCCCATTTTACAGATCAGGAAACCGAGACAGAGAGGTTAAGTAAGTTGCCTAAGGTTACATAGCCAGTAAACTGGTAGAACTGGACTTGAACTCAGATTTGCCATTCTCCAAAGCCTTCCAGGCTTCTAACTACAATGTTAAAAACCAAAAAATCTGTTGCCGTGGAGTTGATTCTGACTCTTCGCGACCCTATAGGCCAGAGCAGAACTGCCCCATAGGGTTTCCAAGGAGCGGTGGATTTGAACTGCCAACTCTCTGGTTAGCAGCCGACCTCTTAATCACTGCGCTACCAGGGCTCCAGTGCAGTGTTAGCGTACGGTAAATATACAGTCTTTATCTATGCATTATCTCACTAGTGTAACAGCATTGAGCAGTATAGATTAGCAAGTGATTCTCAACAGGAAATGATAACATACAGAGGCCCGACTATTTTAAGCTATTAGTCTTACAAAGTGTTCTAGGATAGAGCCTTGTCACCTCTGTGGGTATGGGGTTCAGACATTCAAATATAGTTGATAAAGTTATTATAGGAAGTAATTTTAGGGCCTCTTTTCCATCTGTGCAATTCTCAGTGCCAACTATGTCTGCTGGTCGAAGTGTTGAATAAACGTTCATTGACTAGATGGCTGGCTGGCTCAGTGAATCTTTTTCACGTATCATGAGGAGCGAGCCCCTCATTCAAAGCATCGGGACCATTAGATCAAGCCCTGTTAACAATTTCTTGTTGGGGTCACGCAGCCGCTTGCGGTCTGGGGGAGCCTGCTTTCGATGTGGGATCAAGGTTTGGGGAACACGTTGCCACCTGAGAATGCAGAGGAGAAAGCCCAGAAACCCTGGACTGCTGTCACACTCTAGATGGGGACTCAGAACCGCCTCGGTACCAGCGGGGCGGCCCATTTCCACCTGGACACCGGTGGGGCGCCAGGGTAGCTGGAGGACCTGCGATTAGCCTGACAATGCAGGAATTTTGCGTCGGCTGCGGGGTTTATGGACCCAACTGAAGGGAGGGAGGGAGCACTGGTCGCCTGACACACCCCAAGGCGCCCTGCTGCAGCCCAGGGCTGCGGGTGTGGCAGTGGAAAGCTCTACACGATGAGATCAGCCGAACTCAGGCTGCGGCACAGCTACCCGCCCTGCCGTCCGCGCAGGCGCAGCCTCTAGGCGTCCGCCGGCCCATGGCGCACGCGCAGTCGGTTCTCGCTCGCTCCCTCAGCCCCGCCCCCGTAGGCCCCGCCCCGCTCCCGTGCGCCGAGCGCCCCATATCCGGGTTCCTGCAGCCTTCGCCGCGGCCGCCCAGCTCATTCAGCTTTGCCGGGAGTGGTGATTCCCGACCAAAATGGCGGCCGTGGGGCGAGTCGGCTCCTTCAGCTCCTCTCCGCCGGGATTAGCCTCCACCTACGCGGGCGGCCCCCTGGCCAACGAGCTAGCGACGGGCAACGGCGGCGCCGCAGCGGACGACGAGGACGGGCAGAACCTCTGGTAACCCCCCACCCCTCCCTGGGCCCCCGCTGCCACTCCCGGCCCTGCGGACGCCTGGGGACCCCGGGCCGGCTGCGCTCGGCGCCGGGAGGCGGTCCTGCGGCCCCGGGCCCCGGCCTCAGCGTGCGCTTTGCTCCCCGTCAGGTCCTGCATCCTCAGCGAGGTGTCCACTCGGTCCCGCTCCAAGCTCCCCGCGGGGAAGAGCGTGCTGCTGCTGGGTGAGTGCCCCCGCGCGCCCCGCGCCCACCCCGCGCCCACCGCGCGGGCGTCCTGGGCGCCTCGTGTCGACGGCCCCGCCCCGCCGCCTCGCCTGGCGCCGTAGCTGAGGGGGAAGGGGGACCCCTGCCCCGGGACCTGGGGGACCCGCCCTCCCCTGCGCCCCTCCCCGCCCCGGGTTGTGGATGCCCCGTCAGCCTCCCCTGGAAGGACTGGCTGTGAATCAGCCCCCACGCCCCCCAGGGACCCTGGCGGCCTCGGATTTACCTAGAAAACAAGGGCGGTGTTTCTTTCATCACAAAGATAGGTAGCAGGCAGCTCTTTTCAAGAGCTCGGGTGCAAATGGCGTGCCATTAATATTTAATAGCCGACTCTTTGTGTAATTGACGGAGAAGCTAGAATTGAGACCCGGTATTCGTGATCAGTGTCTTGTTTGATTTAGCGTTTTCGGATCCAGCGTGCTCGTGTTGCATCTGCTTTGTAAACTGTCACTTATAATCCTGAAATGTGTAAAGCGCAGTAGAATATCTCTCTAGTTCAGTCACTTCAGCCACGTGGATGTAATAAGGACTGTCCTAATGTCTCAGCTCTCCTGATTGTTTCTATCCCCTCTGCTCTCTAGAAGTTCTGCGTTTTGTTTCTTTACTGACTTCTTTAGGGTGGGGGTAGAAGACCGGGAGGGAGAACATTTTCTAGGTTCACATGTGTGCAGGTTTAGCTCCTGAGTCATTTACATGAGAAAGATTTCTCCCGTATTCTTTCAATGTGTGTGAGGTGTTGAAATTTTAAAACTTAGTTATCAGGTGTCTCAAGACTATTTTTGTTATGTAGTTGAAAAAACAAAGACAAAGAAGTCAAATCTTCTTTGACAGGGTCCACATTTAATAGGAACGTTGAACTAGAAATAAATTACTTATTTTTCCTGAACTGCTGCTAATCTAGGGTATGTGATTCTTGTCACTCTTGAAAGTTATATGGAGCTGGTTGAAAAATTAGATTTTACCTTTGTTTTCAACGTGATTGAAAGCATCCACTGCAGATGAGCCTGGGTTAATTCAGGGTCCTATTACATGCTAGCCTAAGATCGTAAGTTGCTTGGTATCTATAAGCTCAGTTTCTTCATCTTTAAAATGGATATTATAGAAGTAATAATGCCTAAGTTTTAAGGTGCGGAGAGGATTGAATGAGATAACGTATTTAAAGTGATTAACAACACAGTAAATTTTTGTGATGGACTTAACTGGATTAACAGACATTTATGATCAGAACTCTTTAAAAATTGAGTTAGTGCTCTACATATGTGATATTTATAAGGCAGAGGTACATTTTAGGATCCAAAAGCAGAATAATTCCAGAAAATGTTTTTAATTTACTAATTTCAATTAATTACTGCTAATTACTAAACTGAAATGAATTTAAGGCTATGTGATGTCATTGAAGTGGATTTTATTTTAAAACAAGACTTCTTTTGACATACGGTGATTGTTTTCATTTTATAGATTCTCTTCACTACTCCCGTGTATTCACTGTTACCTAGGTAGTTCTGTGTCTAGTGAAATGATAGGTGACAGTTATGTTTATTTCTTCTTGTTCCTAATTTGCACTGAGGTGGCACCATGCCCCCCCCCCGGCCCCCGACACTGGCTCATGTCCTGAAACTGAATGTCCATAGACAAGCCAGGCTCCTCGCCCCTCATACTTCAAAGAGATTAAGTTTCTTTTGTTATGAGCTTAATAGTTCATAAAATTCCATCTAATACCTAATTGTATGAGCTTGAAATGAACATTTTTTTCTTTTGGCACTATTGGAATTTTTCACGAAAGTCTTTTTCGGCTTGGGAAGAAGCTGGTAACAGATTTTAATACTGATTACATAAATCCTTAATTTTCCAAGATAACCTCTAAAAATTCCAAGAGATGTTTTGCCATCCACCTATCACGGCCACATTCAGTCCGCGCTGATGAAGGAAAGAAGTGTACAGACAAGGGATTGTGGTTTCTTCTGTTAGGAGTTTGAGGGTGTCAGGTAGGGAGATACTGGGCTCTACTATGTCTTTCATGAAGTATGGTGGTCTCTGAAATGCTACTCGTTGAGGTTAGTTATTTGCAGATAATGGAATTTGTGTGTTAGAGTTCCATATTTAAAAAGCAAATCTGAGACTGTAACAAGGCTTTACATTTCCAGAAACAACTCAGAATAGAGATGATGATACACACCCAAATGGCAGTTTAACATTAGTTTATTAGTTTATCAGAACAAATTAGTTTCTCATTAAACAATTAATACACATATTGTTTTGTGACATTGGTTACCAACCGCATGGCGTGTCAACACTCTCCCCTTTTCGACCTTGGGTTCCCCATTACCAGCTTTCCAGACCCCTCCTGCCTTTTTGTCCTTGTGCCTGGGCTGGTGTTCCCGTTTGGTCCCGTTTTGTTTTATGGGGCTGTCTAATCTTTGGCTGAAGGGTGAACCTCAGGAGTGACTTCATTACTGAGCTAAAAGGGTATCCGGTGGCCGCATTCTCAGGGTTTCTCCAGTCTCTATCAGGTCAGTAAGTCTGGTCTTTTTTTGTGAGTTAGAATTTTGTTCTACATTTTTCTGCAGCTTTGTCCGGGACCCTCTATTGTGATTCCTGTCAGAGCAGTGGGTGATGGTAGCTGGGCACCATCTAGTTGTGCTGGACTCAGTCTGGTGGAGGCTGTGGTAGTGGTGGTCCATTGGTCCTTTGGACCAATCTTTCTTTTGTGTCTTTGGTTTTCTTCATTCTCCCTTGCTCTAGATGGGGTGAGACCAGTGGAGTATCTTAGATGGCCGCTCACAAGCTTTTAAGACCCCGACACTACTCACCAAAGTGGAACGTAGAACATTTTCTTTATAAACTGTCTTACGCCAGTCGAGCTAGATGTTGCCCGAGACCATGGACCCCACAGCCCTCAGCCCAGTAGTTTGGTCCCTCAGGGAGTTTGGATGTGTCTGTGGAGCTTCCATGACCTTGCCTTGGGCAAGTCATCAGAGCCAGTACTCTTAACCGATACTACTAGAGTATCTCCATAAAGAAAGGGAAAGCTTTCTTAGTAGGAAAAGTAACAGGATACCTTACAGTTATTCACAAGTTTTATCTGATTCTCCCAAGTATATTTATTTCAGTACCAAGAGAAACTCATTGATTTAGATTAATCGATTTCATTGTCTTATGAAATATATTTGTAATCCTGTTCCCCAGCACAGTTCCTGCCTCAGAGATAGGACGTCAGTATAACTTTCTGAGTTGAGGTTAGTGTGAAGTAAGGAAATAGAGCCCTGGTGGCGCAGTAGTTAAGAGCTCGACTGCTAACCAAAAGGTCAGCAGTTCAAATCCCCCAGCTGTCTCCTTGGAAACCCTATGGGGCAGTTCTACTCTGCGCTGTAGCGTCGCTGTGAGTTGGAATCGACTTGACGGCAACGGGTTTGGTTTTCGGTTTAGTGTGCTCATCTACTAACCTAAAGGTTGGTGGTTCCCACCTCCCTGCCCAGCAGCGCCGTGGAAGAAAGGCCTGGAGATCTGCTTCCATAAAGATTACAGCAAAGAAAATCTTACGGAGTAGTGCTACCCTATAGCACAAGGTGTTGCCATGAATCAGAATCGACTCAATGGCAGCAGGGTTAGTTGGCCCTTTGGCAAGTCATTTAAGCCTCATATTTCTTATTTGTAAATTAAGCTATTCGGATTTAGTGATCTCTGAAATCTTGTCTGAGTTGGCATTCTATAATTTTTTTATGTGACTCAAACTTGTGAGTTATTAAACATTTTCAAAGAAACTTCTTTAAGACACGTTGCAGTTGGAGTAAAATTGGTAAAATATTTCCTCGTAGATGTAGGCTGTTTGATTCCGGCCAGGAAGAAATGTAGAGTCTCTCTTGTGTGTTCCCTGAGGGCGCCAGCCCGGGAAGTGTGCAGCCAAACTAGCCCCACAAACTGCTGAGCATTGTCAGGAAATATGTTTGAAACCATCTTTCTTACTCAGGAACCAAACTAGCCTCTGCCGTGCTTGGATTATTGCATGTAGGAAACCTCAGGATGTACACAGTGGAACTGGAGATCTGTCCAGAGAAGGAGGAACTAACTTGTGACTGTCAGGAGAGGGGGTGGTTTTCTGTGTGGGGCTGACTTTTAAAATAATGAGATTGTTCAGTCTGAAACTATTAATCTTGTGAGGAGCTAGGATTAACGATCATCAGGGTTCCATGGCTTGTGGGAAACACAGACTTTTATTAATTGAAGGATGTTTTCCTGGCATGATGGGTTGTGGGAACATGATACAAAGAATCGAATGTTACCACATACAGTGAAATCCAGGAAAGCCTGAACCTGTGTAAGGCAGAAACTTGCCAGAGAAGGAAAACTCAAGTATTTTCCACCAATAGACAGCGATAGAAAAGTGGTAAGACTGCACCCTTTCAAAGGCGGAAGACTTGCAAGACCCGGAAAAACAAGGCAGTTCCATCGAGGTCCGGCTCTCACAGGTTTCCGTGTATACTGAATTGGTGATTTTCAAAGGATCAGTGTAAAATTATTTATTGCATGTCTGTTATGTATGATTACTAAAAATACACCAAACAGAATGCTTTGAGAGTCCAGTGGCATCTTGGTGTCTTGGCGATGGCTGCAGTCAGCAGACTTGTCTGTAGAGGGCCAGATGGTCGTTGAGCCTTTGTGAGCGATGCAGTCTCTCCTGCAGCTATTCACCTCTACCCTTGTAGCCCCCAAACAGCCATAGACAATATGTAGATGAATGAGTGTGGTGGTGTTTCAGTAAAACTTTATTTACAAAGACAGGTGACACCCTAGAATCGGCGTGTGTGCTGAAGTTTGTGGACCCCTGCTTTAGGTTATTATGGGCATCAATTTTTATCAGTAAGCACAGATGCCAGTTAATAGAGATTTCTGGTTTATGAAATATGGTGTTTGGCACATAATAGGCACTCAGTAAATAAAGGAGCCCTGGTGGCACGATGATT